GGAAATAGAATAGGCGTGCAGCCAACAGCAATAATGAGACGAAAATCGGGACTAGGGGGAAGAAATATTGCTCGAAGTGGCAGACCTCCAAAAAGGCTTCAACTGTCAGATCATGCCTATAGTAAAGAAAAAAATAAACACAATTTTGAAGTTTTCAATCCTGACAATAAAACTGCTGCACCACATTGCTTAGAATACTGTATTACTCAAAATATATCTTTGGGTAAGACACATTCAAAAAAGTAATGTTTGTGTTCCTATGTATGTTTTATTTTCAGTTGATTATTATTAACATTCATGCTTGTGCCATACTTATAGTAGGTATATGACTTTTTTCTTTAAAGAATCCACAGGTTATTTTTAATAAAATTCAAATAAAATAAGAAAGGTAGCAACACAAAAACTTTGAACTCTTGTAAGATAGGCACCCTTTATTAATTAATTGTAATTTTAAATTTGCTAATAAACAAATTATACTATATATACTATAATTATAATAAACTCTATTTCTGTAATTTTGCTGTTTTTTTATTGCCACTGTTTCACTGTCTAATTGATATGGAACAGCTAGGCGTAAACTATCAATAATTAAAATTATTCATAACCCAGCAGTGATGGCTTAATATCAATTTGAAAAAAAAACATGCCTCATGTCATTCAGATGCTTTCACCATTAAGATGAAGAACATTCACAAAAGTTCTAGATATTATGTAAAAGAGGAGTATAAAAGCAATAGCATTTTCATCGAAAAAGCTTGAAAAGTTTTTTATTTAATAAAAATATACACAGAACATCCTCTAGCGAGACTCTAGTCTAGACATAACTATGAGATCTTAAATTATTTACATGAAATCTAGAGGTGGGGATACAAAGAATAAATAAAAAGACAGATGCATGGACACAGATTAGTCTTTTTTCATTATATCCACACCAACCTTAAATATAATCTTCTGAGTGTTCTTGGGACATACTCTTTTAATTCGAAACGTAACTTTGCTCTTCTCTTGAAGCCTCTGTGTTTTTGAAAGTATTCACATAAAGCACAATTACAAAGCCATCAACCAAATTATTTCTTTGTGTATCCGTGATTGACCATATACCCTTCCTCTAAAGGTAGAATAGCATGGAACTAAAATAAAGTAAATAACATTGTTTATTTACAAAATAACAACTGATAACAATATTTTGAAAAAAATATAAGAACTAGAGTATTTTACTTACAGTTTCTCCATAATTCTTCATTTGTAACTATTTTCAAGATTCATGTGGACTGTTTATTTCAATAAATAAGGAAAAATGTTTTAATTTTTTACTCTTTACAACAAAACAACTTAAACATGAATAAGACATTAACAAATATTGACAGTGAACAAATTTTGACATTTCCACAATAACGACACTAAACCAATCAGACAGGTCTTATTCACAAGTGTAGCAGGTTTAGAAATCACGCGCTCCGCCAGTCCACGCAACACAAAAGCCACAAAATCTGCTACCTTACGTTAAACATATGATTTTGTTAGTGTGTTTAATGTTGATATTGTCGCCATTGCTAAATTGGCAATCCTGGCCGCGCATGCGCTTTAGATGCTCATTTTCTTAAGTTACGTCAAGTCTTGCATGAACCCACCTTACACTCAAGCGGAAATGTCTTTCATAATATATTTAAAATGGCTATTAGAACTTAAAAATAATCATACAGTAGCCTATAAAGGCTCTACCTGGCTAACTAACTAACTAATGCACATCAAATGTTTAAAGTTCTAGTGTACTTTAGCTTAGGTTATATTTTGTAAAGTGAATCAATTAAAAAAAATGGCGTCAAGTAGGTTGACCCTAGACTTCCTATGCAACGCTGTCATCAATTCATAACGGATTATACTATTCAGCACAAAAGTTGGCTAGAAAACAGAATAACAGAAGAATTAAATGGATCATATCAGTCAAACATACTCATAAAATTAGCCCGCAATCACCACAGATTCAACAACATTGCGATATACCGAGCCAGCAAGGACACGTGTATTTCACGTGACAAGAACGTACATCTTTACGTAGTATCCACGGCCCTTTTCGACGTGGAAAGTCCGTTGAATTTGTGGGCGAAATGTCAGATTGAATCGACGTCACTTTCTGACGACGATTTCACGTGATTTATACACGATACACGATTTATTATGCTGAATTCACGAGTTTTAAACGTTGATCATTATTCTGTATATCTTTCATATCTGAAGTCATACAAGATAATTGTCACATAACTGAAGGGTTAACTGGATAAAGATGGTAACTAACATTTGGATCAAAAAATATATTTCGCGAAGCCTAGAACTGGTACTCTGCCTGGAAAACTGTTATTGTTAACAACCTGTTTTCCAGACAGAACATCACTGATAGCCTTCATCAAACATATGGAACTCATTTTTCAACAAATGTAACTTACCACCTTCATTTACTCTACCCTTCAATTGTTATTGTACTGAAGTAGACCACTGTGATGGAAGAAATATTTACATTACAGTATACAGAATTTAAACATATTATGTGGCTTGAATTGTAAGGGCAGACAAAATGGAGGATTAATACTATAGTAATTTTATTTGAAGTAACTACTTCAATAATCACAACAGCTCCTTAAAAACATGAGTATGCTAGTTCTTTGTCCAAAGTCCACTGATTGCTTTAAGTACAAACCATCATATCTGCTCATATATTTTATGCGAGATTAAATAAATGAATACTGGTAAATAAGATTATATATTAACTCATATACACATGTAAATAAAATAGAGAATACAACTTTTGCAGATGTTTTAATACATATTGCATGTTAGCTTCCTTGTTAGTGAATCTTAGTGAGAATTGAACAATCGTTTCGTGAACGTCAGATTAGTCCTTAGAGAGAATCTAAGTCCCATATGTTGATGCACAAAGAAAACTCTCAACAAAGCCGACATTTTTACGGAACTTATCCAAAGCAGCAGTCACTCAACGAACCGTTCAATAATGCAAACTCCACGTTCTGACAAAATATTGAGGATAGTTATTTTTCAAAATTAACTGTGCCTAATGACCCCAATGTGTCCACATTTTGGGTTTGTAATTTTATACTATACAAGTCATCCTACATCTTATTTATCAAGTGTTTTCCAAATTTGTATGTATCAGAGGGAACTAGACCTTACTTTCTTTATAAGGTAGAACAAAACATTTTACTCGAATTTCACAAAACTGCCACATGTCAAGCTTGCATGATGGATTGCAAATCAAATAAATATTTAGTATATCTCCAGATCAAAAGGGTAAACATAAAATGTTTTCTTCGAGAGAAACTTTTTCCCCAAAATAAATCCGCCTCCTTTTGAATTAACTAGAATATTATGTACTTCAATGACATACTTATCAGTAAAACAATATGAGTTTGCCTCTGAATGTGCACAAATCTCATAGTCATAAGTCTCCATAGAAACCTTTTTCTACTGTTTGTACAGTTCAGATTGATAGCATGTGTACATAAATTGTTTTCTATGTGATAATATTGGCAAATTTGATATATGCTCAATTTCACAAATTCTTCGGCAAATTTGTTGTAGTGGATTAGTTGGCGATTTTATCAACTTTTTGATATGACCTAGGAAATTTTCAAAAGGGAAAGCAGAAAAATTATCCAATGCACCATTATGTAAAACATCATCACATACATGTTTTAAAATATGAACATTATAAATTAAAAATTCTGTGCCATATATTTGTTCACATTCTTTTATAAATCTATGTATAAGCTTACTACTTAGATCACAGTTAACTTTTCTCATCTCATGAGTAGTGTTATACATTAAAAGTGAAACTGCACTATGTAATATTAAAAAATTGTAATACATTTTTTTATTAATGGCATTTTTCAATGCAACAACTCCTGTATATAATAAAAAGGTTCTGAACTCAGATGCTTTGAAACGATTTAGGTCCATTAAAGATCTTGGTTTTCAGTTAATTTCCTTAACAGTAGCATGGTGATCATCATCAAGTTTTAGTCTGAATGAGTGATCACTTCTTTTCCGAGCATTTGTATCACGCAATATATAATAACATGAATAACCACCAGGTGCTTTGATACCTTTTATGAAAGCCTTTGCCGGTGCATCACATATGAAATTTCCTAATTTTACCAAATATTTTTTAGTATCTACAAAAATGCCATTTTTTATTATATTAAGTTCATTAACGAAGTCAAAATACAAAGACAAAGGAGAAGGCTTTGACATACCGCAATAAATTCCTATAGCAAATACCTACCTTTTGCATGTTGTCCGCCTCCAGTGATCCCAAAATAGGCCATGCTTGCATATTTAAACTTTTGTACAGAGGAATACCATCAATATTAAAATTCAGAATAAGTGTGTCATTTTTATAATCATGTTGTCTAATGAATTTTTCCAGATTATTTTTTATGCCTATATACACATACTGGCCTGACCCAAAACTTTTTATATCAAATTTTTTGTAGTTTGCAATAACGTACGGCTATCAAGAGGAAGCTCGGGGTGATAGGATGACAGAATATGGAGATCTTTAAGGGCTGTATGAGAGATTTTGAAATTTGTAGCCAAACATTGTAATTCATCTTTTAAACTTAGTTCATTATTTTCCTCTATGGAATTATCATCTATTACGTCTGAATTTTCTATAAGTTCCCTTCCAATTTGCACACTACAGCTTTGATTGCTGGTTCTCAGATCTGGTTCAATATTATTCCTATTGCCAAAATCTTTCTCCAAATGTCTCACATTTCTCAAAATATCCTGTTACTTCAAAATTTGAATTCCTGGATTCTGCAGTATTAATGCTCTGTTGTTGAAGTGAAGCCACAACCTGTGAGGAATTGATTTCATTAAATATTTGTCGAACTTCCTTTGCAACATGTCTAAATGACTGACGCTCAATACCGACTTTTTTATAGTTCCTTTCACTTGACATTGTCTAACAAAGAAAAAAAAAGGTTATGTAGCAGAAAATCAAACTTCCACCACCAATTTCATCGGAAAATTCTATTCCTATGTATATTGAGTATGTGCGCAGTCTGGCTTTTGACAACACACAAATATAATATGTGCTTAAAATTTACAGTAAGATAAAGATATATGGCACGCGGTACCGACACTAGCAAAATGCAAAGTGGAAAATGGATGGAGGATGGAGAAGGAGAACCCGGATAGTCGTTATCAACATGTGGTTCCTGATGGGTGATGGGAGACGTGGGAATTACTGGGAATGGCTAAATGGCTTTGATTGGATCCGATGTCTATTTAAAAACATAGTTGCCAAATGTTGCTTGTTAAATGTCTACAAATGTTATCGAGTTGAAGAAGCTTGATGTAATTTATATAAAATTCACCAGGAAATATAATAGGCTCAATCATAAAACAACAATTTATCAACTCTGTGAGATTTTTAAAAGTATAGGTGTGAAATAAGGATATATCAAAGCAAGACGGGACGACACGCAAAGATCAACTTCAGTCAAAAGCATTATAGACACGTGATGAAAATTCTACAATCTGGCAACGCAGCTGTGACGCAGTTGTCATAATCGCTTTCCTTTTCAATCAAGGCACGATATTCAATAATTCAATAATCAAATTCAAGCGGATAACCAAATGGAAATGGTACTTACCATTTTGGATTGGTATTTACCGATCCGTTCAAGCGAGTGTGGTTATCAGTTTGTATATAAGATCCGTGACGTCATGAATCAGCTGTTATATGTCATAGTTATCACCGCAAAATTGTGGTATTTACCCAACTCCGGAGTAGTTTTATATTTCTGGTTATGTGACAAGTTAGAATTTTGCCGGGTATTGGATATTTTTATTGTACTTCAGCTTCATTTTTGGGAAACTTGATACAGGCTGACTTCAGTTTTAGCATAAGAGAGCACCTTATTATTAAAATATGGCCGTATAAACTCACTGGATGATGTCCACCTGTATACGGTTTTGTTAATATCTTTTTTTCATCGCTTTTCCATCATTTCTGCTAAATTAATAAATATTTTCTTTTACATGCGGAAAAGTTTAGAGAATTGAAAGTTATCATAGCTACAAAGCCATGCTTCCATCAGTAAAAATTTTTTTCAGAAAAAAAAACATTCCTCCCATTAATATTATGAAAGTTTTTTTTCAACTTTCCATACCCCGTTGTAGACGAAAAAGCATCGATTATTAACTGATAATAAAAATAATCAGAAATTATATACACGCTTTTCCAAAATCAACAACTTGCAACAAACCGCGGTTAAAACCAACGCGTTCAAGCGATTCGAGTAACTGACGTCACCATCCCGTGTGTCATCTTGAACCATATTATAACCGCGTTACATAATACGGAAATTTTGGTTATCCGCTTGGATTTGATTAATATTTGTTGGTCATTAAATGGGAAACAGGGGTATTATATTAATTATTTCTCAATCGCACTTTCATATTTTACCATTTCAATAAGATGATCGATTTGTTGTAACATCGATTTTCACATAACTAAGATACATATGTGTATACGGTATTATTATTTATAATAAAACTCGTAAAAACATTTTCCACGTTTTATCGACGTTTATCGATTATATTATAAGAATACAGCAGGAAATTATAACAAACTAATATGTTTAAATTAACTAATCGGTTAAGTGACTGCAACATAACCGGATTTTATTCGCGGCAGCGGAAATTGGTATAGAGGTGTACACACGTCGTGATATTCACGTTTTATCGACGTGGTGTGATTATATCGGACAAATTTGAGCGAAATTTGGTCCATAACTGACATCGAATAAACCTAGAATTTTCCCTAAGTTTCAACTTCGACCAAAATCACCAAATATCTACGTCGATTCCACGACACCGTGCTGGCTGGGTATAGCCTACCAACAGTACCGACCGCCCAGCAACGTGGCAACCCAGCATGGGGTTGCATACACGAATGCACGTATCATTATTCACTTTGATTCCTTGATTCCGTTATCCCTTATTATTCCAACCAGGCAAACGTCCGCTCGATGAGTTATCCGGCACACAAGTAGATCGAAAACTTATTTCTCTATCATGCAAGTTTTAAGGGCAAATATATGATATAGGTATGTCTAAAATGCCCATAGAATTATATATACCGGGTTTGGAAACGTATGAATTGCTAGCACCAAAAAAATGGACCGGTTTTCATAAACTGCAAACCCTTTTCATCTTTAGTACACTAGTAACATTTCATCAAATTTCGAGCGGTACTTCCCACGTTATAGAGGGGCCAAGTATTAGCATACAGACAGAGGCAGCCCAAAGGAAATGATTCAAAGAGTGTTATGGTTTTTGGTAATCTAGGGGTCGTTTATAACGTCCAAATTTTTGCAATACTACCTGGTCAGTGGTGTAGGAAGTGAAAATGGTCGAAGTTATCAAATTGGTTTGAAATGTTTACTTCCGGTTTTGCAAATATTTTTTTTTTCAAAATTTAAATGTTTTTCATCTGGAAGTACAGAAAATTTCCTATATGTTTGATAACTGATTTTATTACTCTTCAATTCAAAAAAATTACTTCTCAATTGTGGCTATTTTTTAATCCCATAAGCAAATCACAGGAAAAAGTGCGTTTTTTTCACATCTACAAGATGTACAAATAGGCCCAATATTAACGTATTTTGAAACATTTTTCTTTTTGGTGTCCCACGTGAAAAATGTAGACAAATCTTATAGGAATATCTGCAAGAATACCTGATGAACATATTCAAAACTAAAAATTCAGTTCAAGAGCTATAGTGTCCAATTCAAGTGGAAATACATTTTCCTCAACATTTCCTAAATATTCTTTATAATGTGAAATTCAAAATTTGAAATGTCTTCTGGAGGCTATGCTAGTACACCATATTTTTCACAATGTTGGCAGCAAGGCTGTGAGAGAAAAATGGTTAACAGATGATGCCACAATGTTTTTGAAAAACATATATTCAATTGAAATATTACAATTATTGTTTCCTACTTATACAATGCTTCAATGTGTTACTTCATCATAATATAATAATGAACATAGACTTACTCAGAATATCAGTTAGAATCAAGAATTACAGTTTTGAAAAATGATAGAAGAAAATTAAAAGGTATAAAGATGAATCACATTGCATTTTAGTAAAATTACCATTTAGAAGTATATCTGAGAGTACTTTTGAAGATTTTTAAACTTATAATAATTAAAATTGCTCTATATATCAATCAATGTTCTGTTTCAATAATTCTGTTAACTCAAATCTTTCTTGCTCCTTCTCATATTGCTCTTGTAGTAGCCTCTCCAATTTATCCTGGAACCTCTGCCTCAATGCTAAGTTTTCAATGTTTTCAATTTTTATTTCCTGCTGTTGTCTTTTCAGCTTTACATCATTGATTTCAGCTTCAAGTTCATCCAATCGTGCTTGAATATTAGCTCTAGATAGATTTGACTCTGAGTAGGACATACTAGGACCTGCATGTTGATAGTAATCTATTTCTTGCATGTGCATCATATTTGGAGAATTTTGCATATCCCTGAACATATCACTTGTGAATTCTGTCAGGAGTTTAGCATCTGCGGAGTTATTCAGCACAGAATTTGAGTCTGTTAAGTGACTGTCATCTGCAGAATTTTGACTGTTTTCATCTAAGACATCCAGGACATTGAGATGTGCATCTTCTTCTTCAGAATCACTAACTGCCTCTCCAAATATGTCATGTTCTCCTACATTCTTTGGAGGCTCTGGGGGTTCTTTCTTGATAACAGTACCTTTGTTGACCTTGTTCTCATCTTCTTCATTGATAACTTCCCATTTCACACTCACTGCATCATTGTCAATCCTCAACAATCTTTTTACTTCCTTTTCTATTTCAGGAGCCTCTACATACTTTTTCCTCAAAGTTTTTCTAAATCTTCTCTTCCTAACATTTTTTGTAGGTGGTGTAACTCCATGGGGCCAAAGATATTTCTTGTCAACTTTGTTTGTGTCTTTCTTCTTTTTTTGAGGAGAATCTTCATCAGTTGTAGCTTGATCATCCTCTTCTTTACAATATAGCATCTGGCAAATATCTGCAGTTTTGTAAAAGCCTTTACCATCTATAGTCTTAAGGGACTCTACAATAGTTGGTAGATCAACCACCTTTCCAGTCAACAACCAGTGATCTACTCTGACCTCACCATGACGCATATCGTTTTCGATTTTTATAGAAAACCTGTCTTTCAAATTACTGTGGCTTCTGAGTGTCTCCCTCAAGATTTTTGCTGGTTCTGGTGGTAAACGTAATACAAACTGGGATTCCAACTCAGCAGGGGAATCGGTTTCACCTTCTATGACCTCCTTCTTCATATCTCTTGATAAATTATTAATATCTACCTTTCCAATTTAGGATTTTTGGATATAATTTATTTTGTGGAATTGTGGACAAATTCTGTTTATAAACAAAAAATTAACATAACCTTACTATTGCTTTGACTTATGTCTTGTGTCAACACAGCAGTATGATTCAGGGCTGCCACAAAAATATAAAAATAGGTTAAAATTCGTTGTTCAAAACGTACATCGAAAACGTGGAAAACGTAGGATGCGTAGAAAACCGTAGAAACTTTCTGTATTATATTGTGGCAGTTCTGCATGATCCTAATTTAATTTTTGACGTTCTTACATTGCAGGCTTTTGCGTTTTTTGAGCAAAGTTGCTGAATGTGTTTTGTGTTTTTTTTTTCGTTGTTTTTATTGTTTTGTCCACATGATAACTTGAAGACTTGTGACCATTCTGCTCTGCATCGTTTTGTGTTGTGAAATCGTTGAATTTAGTGTTGAACTGAAGTTTTTTTACATTTGTTTTTTGTGGTCTTGTACTTTACAATGTCCTGTAGAGTACCTCATATAGATATAATTCCAAAAAAGGATAATAGCTCAGATTATTTGAAAAAAGCGCATCACTTCTATGAGCAGTCAAACTTCCCAAAAGCCTATAAATATTTTGTGCAATACTTCGAAAGTCTTAACAGCATTTCGGATGTTTCCCCTGAGGATCAGGGGATATTTACAGGAGTTGTAACTAAAATTGCCACAGTGCTTGAAGAAACTGATGATGTTGAAGAACTTCTCAAGTGTTACTTACAAACAATTAATTTATTTCCTGACAATTATTTCATCTTAAACAGTCTTGGTGCTTATATGTTCAAGTAAGTAGAGCAAAGATTACTCAAGCTTAGGCATAATTACCAATGAAGGTTCTTTGTAGATTAGGAGAAAATGATATTGCAAAGAAATATCTAGAACTTGCATTGGAATCACATCCATATTTTTTGCCTGTAAAAAGGAATTTATTGCATTTGAGTTGGAATGAAATGCCAAGGTGGCATTTCAGAATGATGAATGATAGGCTGAGAAATCAGGCATATGATAAGGCAATTACGTCACTTATTAGTAAAGGGTAATTTTTCTTTCTACAAATCATAACATTCCATCATTATTTTAACCATATCTGAGGTGTGGCAGAAAAGTAAGTAATTGTACTGTTGTCCTTAGGGCATGTGTGTCAGTCATGCCCTGTCATTCAGTGCTAGTTTCAACGCCATCCAGTATTTTTGGGACTGGTATCAGTGAAGTTGTGTTTTGGATGCGCAACAGTTGAGCAAAATGGAATAGCAGGAATATTGTAGCTTTAAATTTTGTGTTAGTCTTTCAGAATCAACAAGTGTAACCTTTGAAAACTTGAAATAAGGCCTATGAGGAACATTCCTTATCCTGAGCTAAAGTTTTTCGCTGATGCAAATGAAATAATTTTGGGAATTCAGAGAATATGTTGAAGATGAATGCTGCTCTGGTGGCCATCATCTTTGAAAACTGGCAAATACATTGAATATCTGAACACTCTTATAAGATCAGATCAACTTAACATTAAGAATGTTGAGTGATCAGTTAAATTTAAAGAAATTTACTGTTCATCAAAGTTTATTTGCACATGCGAAAGCTCTGGACATCATTTGGGGACTTTAGGGTGCATTCAAAAGAGTGTACACATGCTGTGAGTTATACTCCATACTATTTGAAGATGTTCAGTGCTGCTACCCAGGCTGGGACCAACATCTCCATCAAGTTGTAGCTGCCCAAGGAAACTACTTTGAACCTGATAATATTGATGTAAAAACTCTGCCATTATTTATTTGCCACACCTTGTGCTATACAAGATGTTCCAATATTCTGGTTCCTAAAATATCTGAAAAAATGTATTTTGTAAAGAAAACTTTGACGCCCTCTAACGGACGAGCACAGAGGTAAACCATGTCCAATTGACTTATTTTGTGTCTAAAAATATGTGGTACTTCTATGTCCACGGAATATTGGGACATCCTGTATACATATTAAAGTAAGTTTCATAGAGTCCCAGTGGTAGTATAGTGTAAGTTGTTCCATATAATTTAAAACTATTTCTGCTACTTGACGTGTCACATAGAGGTATTATGTTCAGAAGCTGAATAACATATCAAGTCATGGGATCAGGATCATTAGGAAATATACAAACAGAAAACCCTTCGGAAAGGACATGACACAACACAAAATATATGGCAAAAGGGTCCTCAGTGGAATTGGCTGAATTCCGAGTACATCTAGTACATTATGATGTCCTGATAAAAGATCGCCATGCAATGTTTCCGAGCCTACCGATTTTTACGAAATACCTAAAACGTCATTTTCCACGATTTTTTAAGATACTTCATATATCTCCATATTTTTTACGGAAAAAGTCAAAAGAAAAGATTTCTATGTACTTTTATGTCCCATACCAATCATACATATGCATACACTTAATACAATCGGCACACAAGCGATGTAGATTTGGGTAAATCATCATTACCCATTTCCGGATAAGCAATAAGGAAACCAAAACTCCTAGGTTTTGGATTAAATATTAAATTAAAATTTCAGGTGATGAAGTTTGTTCACGGAGTCGTAAATGTACAATTTCATTATTATTGACACCATGATTTCTAGTATTTTCAAACAACATTGGTATGATCTCAAGGACGATTGCAATGTTTTGTTATTTGAACAGAAAAGTTTGGTGCCAAATCCAGTCAGCTCAATTCTTTAAGTAAATTATTTTTTAGCCATAGTCCACTTATAATTTTCAGAATTAAAAAATATTTTTGAGGTTCGTTTTATGGCTGAGAAGCGGTCTGGTAGTGAAACAGAAAAGTATATCAAAACATACAATAGGTCATGCTTCTCTTTTTTGTTTGTATACCTGTAATCTGTACACAATAACAAAATGTAAGTTTCCCAGTTGTTATTATTTGTTTAAGAAAAACCTGTGTGAGCGTGCAATAAAATTTTGTACTTTTTTCCTACCTACTTGAATCTACCGAATTTCCACGACACTCTACCGATTTCGTGTTTTTAGGTTCGGCAACACTGTCTCCATGGACAGAACAATTCATCTTATTCCAAATTTGTTTTCTAATGAACATTTAAAGAGATATTGATGACCAAAGTTGAGGAATACAAGTATCGAATAATATCTGAAATTTTTTGGTTTGTAGTGGGATGACAAAAAATAACATATTTGTAAAACAAAATAGTGCTGCCAAAAAAAAATGGAATTTATCCATTGCTGTAGAGGTGTTTTCAAATCATTTTAAATATTAACTCTTTATGGAATTTATATTCATGAATGCCTGTTTAAAAATATGAATGGGTTCAATTTACAGACTTCTTGGCTACAATACCAGAACCTTTGATGTTAATTGCCCTTTTCATAAACTGACATTAAGGAAGCCCTAGTTATAGTTGTCTCAAACTATATAACAAATTTCTAGATGATTTAAAATCCAAGATAGCATTAATAAATTTAAATCTGAAATCATGAAGTTATATCCACTCCTTTCCCTGACTCAATTTTATTTTGAGATTGTATATTTTACTTTTTATAGAGATCATGTATTGTAACCCAATCAGAAATATAACTGCATATTATTTTTATAGCATAGACATAAAAAGCCTTATGATATATTATATGATTTTCTCAACCTCTGTCCTTATAGGTACAAAAATGCTATTGACATAGGGGCTGGATGTGGTTTACTAAGTTTGATAGCATCTAAGAATCCTGAAGCCTCAGTTGTAGCGATAGAAGAAAGTAAACTCTTGCCAGAATGTGTAAAGATGTATTGATAGAGAATAATGTTAAAAATGTTGTAATAATGAACTGTTATTCCACAGATATCAAAGGTATTTTTATAATGATTAGCAAAACTAAAATCACTTGGTTTCATTGTTATAAAAAAGATCTTTTAACAACTTGCCTCAATGAAACTATGAGGTAGATCTGGAAAACAGTATAGATGTCATTGTGTGATTTATTTCAGAACCATTGGGTAAATGTAACCTGATAGTGACAGAAACATTTGACGTTGCTCTCTTTGGAGAAAGAGTCCTAGAAAGTATTCATCATGCACTTAGTACCTTGAAAACGGAAGACGATTTCAAAGTAGTGCCTGCTAGAGCCAAAGTGTACATAACAGGTATTAATCTGCCGTTTATTTTATATTAAAATACTCACACTTTCTAAAACTTGATATCTAAATCAGGATGGAGGGGGCAGTTGCCCCCTCTCTAGAGAAAAACTGCATTCCCTTCGGTTTTTTTATATTGTATATCTAGATTTTCTTATCTGGTCCTGCAAATATAGGTTGCTCTATCTGTCTAAACATGGTGTTTCGACCCTCACCACTGGGATCTCGGAAACGGTAAGAGATATGAAGTCGCTTAAATGGCGCAAAGTTGCGTATTTATTAAATCAACAAAATGCCACTTAGAAATTTTCGAAATTCAAAGTACTTCCGGAGAGAGACGAAAAAAAAAACAATTTCTCAAAACCGTTTCAATTTTTCCGACTATTTGTAGTGGAATTTCAAATAACTTGTACATTAACATCATCGCCACTTTTTCTCTTTCACAAGAGGTCATAATTAGAATTTTAATATGACGTTTCGCCTGTTGTATGTATGTATGTAGGGGGGGTTGGCTTTGGACAAAATTCCATTAGCCACAGATTTTCTAAATCTGTATTACGTGGTGCTTTATATCACCACCTTAGCTAATTTTGCGAACTCAACTATTTTGTCCAGGATGGACTTTTATCTAAACTTAGCAACGATGACAATTGGATTGGAAGTGATATCTGATCCTCCAAAATTAATCTTTGTATTAAATTAGAAACATATGAGGCTCATTTCCTGTGCATTCAAAGAAAATATAGTTTAAATCTACTTTGGTATTGTCACAGTTATTACCAATGATTCCCATTCTGTAAAGGTGGTCTCCGAATCTACCATGATAATCGAAAATGTGTGATGACCTGACTGGTAAAAAAGGATTGATTATTGCATACAGGTTTCTAGAATTACTACAATATATGCTCCTTCGCTGTTTCCATGAGGCTAGCATATTATTTTTAGAATTATTATTTATATCGTTTATTGAAACATATTTTTTGTACTCGATAGTTTCTACAAAACAAGCTTCTCTGGCCGCCTTGTGAGCTATCTCATTACCGCGTATTCCTGAGTGTGGTTTAGACCAGACAAAATTAACTTTTATGCCTTTCTTTGCCAACTCGCACAAGGTAGCCATTATTTCACTATTGAAACATTTAATAGCTGACCCTTCTAAGCTTTCAAGCACCGACTGAGAATCTGAAATTATGGCTACACTGGTAAGCTCTTTATATTAATCTTCATCCAGTCCAGTAGATTTTATAGCTCTCGCCTCTTGTCATCCAACATTTTCATTTCTTATTATGGACGCCGTATTAGATTTTTACTCAGATAGAGATTTTAATTCTGATTTCAGAAATGTATAATACATACCTACATACATTGCAATTGCCAAACCTTAGTTGTTTT